TGCGTGTGTGTGTGTGTGTGTGTGTGTGTGCGTGTGTGTGTGTGTGTGTGTGTGTGCGTGTGTGTGTGTGTGTGTGTAGAATCATCATGAGCTAGAGTGCTATTCATCACGGACACGGAGCTAGCGCGCGTGCTTGTGCGGCGGTCACTGGTTCATGAACATAACCTAGATGTGTGATCAGTCGTCACTGTGCTTCTAGCAGCGGATATATCTATAGCTCTATAGCAGCGGGGGTGCGATATGAAATTCGTTCTATCTACCTATCTACGCACGCACGTGCCTGCCTGCTTGCTTGCTTGCGTGTTGCCTACCTTTCTGTGTGTCTGCCTACCTACCTGCCTGCCTGCCTACCTACCTACCTATCTATCTACCTACCTACCTACCTACCTACATACGTACCTGCGTACCTACCTACTTACCTGCCTACCTACCTACCTGCCTACCTACCTACCGAGCTATCTACCTAAGAACATATACCTGCTCTTTCTGTTCATCTGTACGTTTGTCGGTCCTCCCGCCCGTCCATCCGTCAGTCCGTCCGTTAATCTGTCCATCCATCCATTTACCAATGTATCTATCTCTTCGAGTCTCGTCTTCTGGTAAAACCAGTAACACCGGCCCTGGCTTGAGCTTGTACATTGTACGGTACAAGTTTGCGTTTCATAAAGGATTGCGTGTGCGAGCGTTGGGTGCGCATGGCCGGAAAAACATGACAGAAAAACGCAAAGAAAGACACTAGACACCGAGTATTTTTAGACAATATAATGAAAACCTATATTTTATTCATTCGTCGTTAAATGCACGCTCACATTTACACACCGGACTAAGTGTGATTCAGCTCATACTTCCGCCATCCATTATAATCGCTCTTGATTTGACGAGTTTTATGTCAGTTGTTACATAGCTACAGACTTTTCCGATACTAAAATGTAAATTTGATGAAATAATTAATAAAAAACTTCTAATTTATAAACTAGTTACAGAACTCGGAAGTTTGAAAATAATTCTGGATAAAACGTGCGTCTTTATATAATTAGCATGTCAATACACTGGCCGTTTATATCGCTTTATGGTTATGCTTAGTTAAATATACATTCACTGTAAGTTATTACTAATAAATTATTAAAGTAAGTAATAAGTATTTAAGTTCACAGCAGAATAGCTATTTTGAAACAACTACATCCTAATTCTCTCGCTTTAATAAGTATATCTGCACGCTCTCATCTTCGGCAGAAACGTTTCTCCTGCCGCCCTGTCCAACCCAGCATCATCATCATCATCATCATCATCATCATCATCTCACATTATCGCCGCTAACCTGTCAAAATAAGACAAAAAAACATAAAGAATAAATACAAGCGGATCTACACGCTAGCTTTTCTCGTACAATAAATTAACGCCTTATTTGATAAACAGATCGTGTTTACGTGTCAACCGTTAGAGTAAGCAATAAAAGCTCGTCACTGATGTCACCGTGGCATCAAATTGGATCCGCATGTGTTACGATTTACAGGCAACGTACGGTTACGCTAACGCGATTTGTTTCTAAGACTATGTACCGATTCTTCTATTCAGATGTCTCACCCACACACACACATGTCTCACACACACATATCTCACCCAGGCCCGTAGCCAGCTTTATATTGGGGGGGTTCGTTTTTCAATGTTGAAAATTTGCTCGGCAGGGGCGTGTACCGGATTTGTACCAGGAGTTCTAACCGTAACCCAAAGTTGCGAGCACGCGAAAGGAGGGTCTGGAGCTAAAATATTTTTAAATTACACCCCCTCAGATGCGTTTTCTGCGCGAGCAAGGGGGG